AGCAAATAGTCTTTCAGAGGAATGTTTATCCACACGAACCTTATCTCGCTTGGAGAGCTGCCAGATAACTAGTTTCCAAGCGCAGGGCAACTCAACACTTGGCCCAGAGTCTCTTATAGTCACAAACGGAACTTTCCACTCTTGAAATGATGGAAGGAACGAATTGTTTCCCGCAAGCTATTTTTGCATTCTACAAAGAAGAATGCCTAGCAGTATCCTTGGAACCACCCAGTTTTCAGGTTGGAAGGAAGGAAATTTTGGAAGTTCGGTTGACGTCCCGTAGGATGACCGTTTAAAAACCCAAAACCTGCTACCTATCCCCAAGCCAAGCCGCGTGTGACTCTGCTGCTTCTCTCAGGCGTTCCTGCATGAAACTAGTCCGTGAAACTTGTAAAGAATGGGATAGAGCCGCGATGGCGAACCTGTGGCACAGGTGGCACACAGAGCCATTTGTCAGGGCACGTGAGGCGCTGCCCTGACAGCTGGCCAGCATGCATGCGCCTGCTGGCCAACTGAGTTCACCCTTTTTTAAAGCCATTTTTCGCCCTCCCCAGGCTCCAGAGGCTTTATAGGAGCCTGGGGAGGGCGAAAAGAGCCTCCCCCACCCCCTGGAGGCCCTCGGAAGGCTTCATGAGCTTTCCTGAAGCCTCCAGAGCGCAAAAAAACGGCCCTATGGGCAAATCGGAAGTTCGGGAATGGACTTCCTGTTTCTTTGGAGGGTCATTTTAAGTGCTCTGGAGGCTTCAGGGAAGCCTCCTGAAGGTCCCTGAAGCCTCCGGAGGGCCTCAGGGCGTGGGGAAGGCTTTTTTCGCCCTCTCCAGGCTCCTATAAACCCTCTGGAGCATGGGGAGGATGAAAAAAGGATGCAAAAGATGTCGGGTCGCGCCTGTAGTGCATGCATGCGCACGGGGGGGGGGCGTGCATTGCATTATGGGTGCCGCACTACTGGGCCATCGCTGGGGTAGAGGTTGCCCATCGCTAAAGTTTTAATATGTTTGCCTCCAAGCGTCAAGATCCTTTCTGTTCCTGAGCTGACTCCCTTCTTAATTTTGCTTTTTAGGCACGGATGAAACAACAGTGATTGAGATCCTGACAGGGAGATCCAATGCTCAACGGCAGCTGATAGCGGCAGAGTACAAATCTTACACTGGGAAGGTCTGCATCCTTGGGAAATATTGTGAAGGGAGGGGCACGTTAGGAGGGCGAGGAACTCCGTTTTATCTCCAGCTGCCGATTCTTTGTGGTCAATAGTGTGGAAGAGCCAGTCTGGTTGAGATGCTGGCCTGGGAACCAGGCACTGAGTGTTGTAGTACTGTCTTAGGCATGAAAAATGGCTAGGTGGCTCATCAATGATGGTGAATTCTAGTCCCTCCTTAGGCATGAAAGCTCGCTGGGTGTCTCTAGGCCAATCACCAACTGATGATGAATTCTAGTCCCGCCTTTGGCATGACATCTAGCTGGGTGACTTTGGGCCAATCACCAGGTGATGGTGGATTCTGGTCCCCCTTGGGCATTAAAGTTGTAAAACCTCCATTCCCTCCCCACTCCAGGGAAAGGATACTNTCCAAATGGCTCTTTGAGTGTTTAAGTTTGCCGATCCCTGCGTTAGACCATTTCACCTCTCATTAGAATGAGCAAATATTTTGAAAAAAATAAAATAAAATTGACTTAATCGCTTCACATCAACAGCTATCCTAACTTGTATCAACTATTTGAGTCCTCTACTCAGTGAGCTAAAGTCTTCTTCATACTGAGTGTATTCAGCCATGCGAAAGGACAGACTCGTGTGGAAGAAGGAAGAGAGTAGGAAATAAGAAGAGAAAATCCATGTTCAGACAATACACTCAGCTAGGCCTGTAAATCTGGTAAAGGTAAAACTAAGAGTAAGGCATAAAGACAAAGGCATACAGTAACAGACTAAGGAGCTTGCACTCCTTATGTCCTTCAGATCCAAAAGGAGGGTTTTATCCAAGGCTAATTCTTCTTTCTGGCCTCCAAATACAAAAAGAAGAAGCTACAGCAACTCCTAAATAGGTTTAATTTAGATACAGCATCTCTTCTCCTTCCCTTTGTTCATGGAGGCCTCTCTTTTATGGGCATGGTGACCAGAGCCCTCCGCCCCCCCCAAATAGTAAAAAACAGTATTTTTTAAATCTGAAAAATTAGCCCAGGATCCAGCAGTAATTAGCCAATGAAAAAATGGTTGAGATACTGATTACACAAGAAACCAGGCCTAGCTCTGGTATACGTACAATTATGTATACTTATAATGGTACGTAAGAGAATAAAAAATAAAAAATTTGGGAAAAGAAACCAGGCCTAGCTCTGATTCCTTTGGTGCCCGACCAATGGGCATATTCATTCATTGATAGATTTCATTTACATCCCACTTCTCCTCTAAACAACAGGACTTCTACTTTATCCGAGAGCAACAATCTCGGGACACAACCTGGGCTTAGAGACAGCAACTTGCTCAAAGTCCGTGTATGGGATTCCATGGCTGAGGGGACTCCCTCATGCCAGCAGACCAACATTTAAAGTGCTACCACTCAAGCAGCCTAAATATATCGCATAAATACCTTCTTCCCCATGGTTAGTGCCATATTACTTTCAAACTTTGTACCAACACACCCTAACCTTTTGAATTAGCACCTGTGATTCCTGGCTCGATTTTAACCTTCAGCGAAAGCTATGCCTAAAAAATCTTGCCTAGCTGGCAACTTTCCTCCAAATAAATTTCAATGAACAAATAAAGATGCAATGAACAAACAAATCATGTTCCACTCTTAAGTGTGGCTTCCATTGTTACTTTTCATGCTATCTTATTGCTGTACACAGGTCAGCCACTCCACTTGTTGGAAAAAAAATAACACACAGAGAGGAACCCTTATATACTGTACATAAATAGGATGAAAACTTGGATTGTTAGCATGAAACTTCAGTGTTTGAGGGAATGATGGATGCAGATATGGACATCCCCACCACCACCAATCAGAATAGTGCCATCACTGGAGCAATGAAAATCTTTGCCTCTCTCTACTAACCATGAGGATCAGAAACATATTTTTTACAAACCAACCTTGTGATTCTTAAAATTCCAACCAGCTGGGAAGAAGCCATTTCTTGTCCCATGCCTGATGAAACCAAAATACCTTCCTTCTTCCTGGACCAGAACTGAAGCCGTTTTTTAAAGCTGCATTTTCCTTAAGCGAGTTAAGACTCGTTTTCCAAAGCCTTACCTTTCAATTTACACGAATTTCCCTGCCCTTCCTCCCTTCCCGAATCGGGAGTTGCCAGGCCAGGTTCTGCGGAGGAAGACCCAGCCAGCATCCCTTCCTACTTACTTGGAATCGTTGGGGAGCAGTTCTTTCCCGAGGGAGGAAGACACACACACACACACAACAACAACAACCGCAACCGAGAAATGACTTTTCTATCCTGCAACAGGCAGAGAGGCTAAGACAAATTTACAGCGGAGCAACTTTCATTGTTTCAAAGCAAGCTGCGGGCTGGCGGGCTGGCTGGCTTTCGCCCGTGCAAACTTTCCGCGCCCTGCGACCCTCCCTTTTTCTTTGCACTGAAGCGGAAAGTCCTTACCTGGCAATGGGAGCACACCTCCGACACTCTTGATTTGGCTTTGGGCGTTTTGTTTTGTTTTACCGCGGATCTCCCCACCCTTGGGAGCGAGGGTGCTTGCTTGAAGGGGAGCCCCTAGCCATTGGATGGGCAGCTTCGGCCTCTCCTTTATTCTCCTTTCCTGGCTTTTCAAACAAAACAAAACAAAAAAATCCTGAAAGGAAAAAGCCGCCCCCACGCCGAGTAACCTCTTGTCACCGTGGAAGCCTTTGGAAATGGTGATTCTGCAAGGCAATGTTGCAAGTTCCCTCCTTCCCTCGGCCCATCCCTCTCCGTGGCCTCCCCGAGGCCCGCCTTCCCCTTCGCCTCCTTAGCAGGAGACCTGAGCCACCCAGGAATTGTAACCTGAGTCTAGTCAACGGCCTTTATATGGGGTTTTTTTTTTGAGCCTCTGTGAGTGATCGAAGATCGTCCAGTTTTTCCTGGAAAGCTGGAAAGTTTGGGGTGGGAGTGGGGGCTCCGCGAAGGAGCAGGGAGAGGTTCAGTATTTTGGCTGGCTTTGGAAGAAGATGGAAGGGGGCTCAGTGGGAAACCGTAACAAGCCTAGAGGAAGAGATAAACAGGGCTTCTTACTAAATGAGACTGTGGAGTGAAATGGAGGAGTGGGTGTAGGAATCTCTACTGAGCCGAGAGGTTTGGTGGGCAGAAGAAGAAATGAATCGGAAACATATCCATCAAGTGGGATTTTGATTCTGCTCCCAGGTTTAGAAAGCAAAGGGCCTAATCTGAGTACTTTAGCTGGTCCTTTAAGAGGTAACGGACTACAAAGCTCATCATCTCCAGCTAGTAGAGCCTATGACCATGCTGGCTGGGAATGATGGGTTTTACTTCCACCACATTTGTATGTGCCCTGTTGGAGAAGGATGTTCTAAAGAATTTTGTGTGACTATGTTTTCATGACACATTCACCCCTGGTTAACTGAATTTAGTTTAATTCACCAATATTCTGAGTCTCTGTGACATTAACTAATCGCAAAGGTTTGTTTTGCACTGTGTGCACCATGCTAAAATATCATTGCCTAGCTGTGGTTCAGTGTGTTGGGTAAGCATAATGTACAGTATATGTTGAAACAACATACAACAAACCATAAGTATATTAAATCTGTGGCTGAATTCACATAAGCCAGATCCAAACAAGCCTTATTATGGTTCATAAACATGGTAATATATGAATCATCACTGTAGATTATTCAACAAATCACAATTCAAACAAGTTAGTACTATGTATCAGCCTGCAGAATAGTTTATTCTTGTTAGATTTATATTCCTTCTTAAATTTATGCTAAAAAAGTTATGTTAATAGTTATTTGGGTTAGCACATCAAGGAAAAGCATAGTGCAATCTGGTTTTGTGTACAGTGTTTGTATGGACTTTTCCATTAGGTTCCACACTATAGTTTGTAACTTACCATGAGGCATGGTGGCTGATTGAACAAGTTATATTTTATGCAAAAATACTGTGACCTAAAATATTAGGGACACCCTTGTCCCAAATGATTATGTTCCTTCTGTGAGGTTATCTAGAAACAGCCTGCTTAAGGTTTTGTCCCCCAAAGAATGTGTGGGACAGAAAACAGGCCTTTTCTGTGGTAATGCCAAAATTGTTGAATGTGAGTCATGATATTCAGAAAAGAACTTAAAAGCAATTCTTTTAAAGTAGGCCTACAACATACTGGGATACCTAATCTGATCAGAGTGGGTGACTATTATATTTTATGCTGGTTTGATTCTTTTTGTACTGGGGCAAGATATGTTTTTAGGAGATCACTTTTTGCTTACTAATATTAGTGTGCTCACTGCCCAGAATTGGTTGAGTCGGATGGTACTGATGAAAGAAATGTCCTTCTGGGTTCGGCTCCAAGTGGGGAAAAAGACACTGGAGACATGGAGGCTGCTTGGAAAGATCGTTTATTGTTGGACAGGGCCACATGGCTTGAGCCCTGAACAG